TGTCAATAATTGTTGGAAATTTTTTATTCGAAACAACGCCCTAATAACACAGTAACATCGCAGAAACATTCCAGAAACATCCATCAGGGATAATGAAGACGTCCCTGGGAGGTCCCTATTTTCCTGGGGACATCCCTGGGATGTTGCAGGCAACAGCCGTGTCATCATTTGCGATGTCCTATAAACATCTCTCAGGGATGTTTCTAAGATGACGCGGGATGTACCTAATACATCCGGGGCAGGTGTAAGAAACATCCTCTATATGTTTCTAGTATGACTTTAATAGGTGAATGAATTTTAGGATTATGGATTAAAAATTACCTAATTCAATAATTTTCAATTTTCGTTCTATTTTCTGGAAGTCAGAACTTTTTCCAAAAAAAAAACAAAAATTGAAAATTATAAAATTAAGTAGGCACATCAGTTTCCAATAACATTTTTTATTGAAAAAATAAGGTACATGTATACTTATATTGATTATCTATCAACTAATAATAATCGACGGACAATTTTGCCTAAATAATGTAGTATTTATGCCCCGTCATGTCATCGAAAACCATAGTTTGGCAGTGGCAGCATGTTGTAGTAGGGGAGTTCGGCGTTTTCTTTTTTTGTTGGTGCTCCAATTTCATAAAGGTACCATTATCTAACCAAAACAACCACAGAACCAAAATCCAAAGTTCTTGAAGTACAATTCAACTTGCACACCTAGAATGTAATCAACTATATATGAAAACAAAAAATAATTATTGGTTATTTTCTCTTACCTAATGAAGAATGAAGTTCGGGTTTCTAGGGGCTATTTATCAGAAAAGTTAGAAATTTCCTAACCGACGCCATATTGAAATTAAATAAACTAAACAATTGATAGTTATGCGACGTTATCTTTCAACAAATAATCTTTCTCACCAACTAATAAGCACTGGTAGGTCGCAGAGATCCTTTCGAACACAAAATGGCACAACTAGGTGTAGCGAAAAACCACAAATTGACAAATCCTCAACACAGCACGACGCCATTACGAAATAAAATTCCGCCCAACAACACAAGCGTAGCGCACAGGACGACCCGTTCGACTGATTCTGCCCGTCTGCGCTGGCTGCGGCGCCGACCCGACGTGGTGGCGTGCCCTCCTGTCCTGACCGGTACAAGTACAAATGCCTGAGCACGCGCCTGCGCCATACACTTCGGCTTCACGAATATTCACGATGTTTGAAAGTTGAAAAGAGAGAAGACTTTTATCAATACATATTTTATTTTATTCCAAGTTGTAAGTCGAATGAAAAATTAAATATTGCTGTTGTTACAATACAAAATTAATATTAAGTTCCTTATTATCTATATACATTACAGGTATATTATGGAATTTGAAATTAGTTTGTGTGTGTGATAGAGACATTTTCAGAAATCACACAAAATTGGCAAATTTAATACTGGGTCCTACCGGTCTGAGGTCCTACCTAGTTTTGTAAAATAATGTTAGCCATTTTTTAGCTGTAATAAGTATCTAATTTTGAGAACAAAAAATCTTTTTGTCGATAGATATTTTCGAAAGGATGTTTCTAAAACATTTCAGGACAATCATCCTAGAGATGTTACATTACAAACATCGCAGCGATGTACCATTTATGTCGGAAACATAAGGACCTTAATGGTACATAAATAGGATGTTTCTGGGAGATCGGTGTTATTAGGGCGTATGTATCAATATGAAGGTGTTCAAAGGTTTTTGAATCGATTGGAGTTGGTTTGAATATTATTTTGTAAGGTTGCCTTTTTACATATTCCCAATGAACTAAACAAACACGCTGCACAGGCGGCTGCATAATTGTTCCTACGCGAGGATTTGTGCTAGGAAGGAAAACAAACAAGTGGGATTTGCATCTCTCTCTGCACTATAGCGGCTATTGAGAACAGCTGTTTGAAGAATGAAGTGTTTGGATCATTGAGGCTAGGAAGATGAAGAAGCTTTTCTTTCTTTTACGTTAATCGCAATGAGTGCAAGCGAGACAACAATCCCTCTGTATTGCTGGGTTGCATATATCAAAATTCGACACACTAGCTTAAAGCAGTGCTCCCGTTCCAGAGTGTTTGTTTAATTCAATGCATATTTCACATGTTTGAAATGCTTGTACGTCTTTTTCTAAATTAGGCCAATAATATCGTTTCTCTAGAGATGAAACATTTTCTGTAGCTCTTCGACAAAATAATTGGAAATACATAACTTGAACGAATTCGAATTGGATGATGTACTTGGTAAAATAAGAAGAGAAGGCTCTATGCGCCGTATTTATAATAAAATATCGCTGACGGTGCAATCATGTGGGCGAAACCTTGATTTTCCAGTGCAGTACCGCTTATTCAGCATCTTTATAATATTGCGAGCTTTTACAGAGGCGTACGCTTATATTTTACATTGAAAAGGAGAATTATGTATATAATAATAACATAGGGATTTATAATATAACTTCCGTCGTTTTCAATCTGACACTTTCCGTATGAGGAGCGAGGGGGTCAAGCTTATGGCAAAAACAGGTGTAGGTACATACCTTTGTAGTATCAGATTAAAATCGACGGATTGTGTCGATTTTAAATTAAATTTCCTCGTATATAAAACGTTAATTGACTTAAAAATGTGGCAAATTCTTATTTAATAGAAAAACTTTAAGTGCAACTATAGTTTGCGATAAAACACGCAAAGTAAAACTTTTCGTTCGAGCTTGAAGAAGCGATATGAATATCAAAATCGCTCTTGGCTTTCCTTGTACAAAAAGTTTCGTCCTAAGTAGTCTCCGGATGATTTAATAATCTACCCCAAGCCAGCTTTTTTATTACTTTTTATATTTTGTCGAGCACTTTTTTATTAAGATATGATAATCGCCTTGTGGGCGAATGTCCTTGTAAAAGTATTACACATAATTAAAAAATATTTTATTATTTTTGTATTGACAAAGGTGATTATTTCGCAATGATATTAGTTTACAAAAAGCGTATAGAATTTTCTATTTTCTCTCTCAAAATGCATTTCGTTGTTTGCGCTGTTATTTACCGAGAAAATAATGAAAAGGTAAAAGAACTCGGATTTAGGTTTTACAAAAGGCTAGATAATGGAATTAGGTTTTCATCAACGTTTTTTGAGTTAACAAGGATTTGCGTAGGTACTTTAAAAAAATCAGTCCTTATACCTTATCAATGTTGATATGTAATTATAATTTAATTTAAAAAATAAACCCTATACCTATTTTCCATTAATTTTTTATTTGGACACATTGAAAGCAACAAAAAACCTTCCCCCATCCTCTACTTTTATGCACGTATCACAATCGCTTTTCCATTGAAACTTTATTATATGGGGTCGTTTCGCAACAAAAAATCTTTATTGGTCGAATCCACAAAAAGCCATTCATTTTGTTTGGGACAAAGACGAAAATTTATCAAAATAAAAGTCAATCTAAAATTTAATATTGCAGCTCCATGGTTCGGGGCAAAACTATTTTGCTTCTAAAATAAATGTTTGCCATATTATTTTAGAAATCAAGACTAAGGAAATTTTGCTCGGGAACAATAATGTAAAACTTTATATTGTACACAAACTTCAGTGGTTTGTAATATGAAATCTCAAATTGGTTTAAATTGTTTTGTGGGTTTTATTTTTTGGGCATATGCCTTACTCGTAATATTCATAACTTTTTAGTGACTGATTGTCAAGTAGTAACCATATCTGTGACATTTAGGTAGAGTTTATATAAATTTGATGTCATTTTTATTAATTAGAAAATTTACACAAATCAAAATTGAAATTTTTCTATGGGAAATTTCATTTTCAAATATTTCAAAGGGCCATATTTTGGAAACCAGAAAAGCTATCGGTACGAAATTTCCAATTGTAGATTTCGATTAGGACTTCAAAAAAGGTTATTTGGGGCACGGAGCCCTAAGGCTTCGTTTCCGAGATAATCGGCTTTGAAGGTTTTCCAAAATTTGAGATAAAGTTTCAACTTTGAGGCTCAATATCTCGAAAACTATCTGAGGTAAATGATTCAATATTGTTTCATCTTAAAAAGCATTTAATTCTGATTATGAATATTATGTAAATATGCATCAGAATGTTTACCTCAATGTGATATAAATTTTACATCTACTTGAGTATGAAATATATTCAATTATATAATTTTCTACTCTAAATTTATGATTTTCTACAACGAACTCCAAAGGCGCATTAAATTTCTTTCAGAACTATTTGCTCTCATTCAACTATATAGGGAATCCAATGTCCCTATTGCAATGTAGCTTACAGGTGCTATTATTTTTCCAATTTGATTTGATTTATCAATAAATAAAAAATTCTCATTTATCAAAATTTGATAAAATATGATATACAAGTTGTTTTTCTATGTAAGACTATTATTCTATTTGATGATATAATGCTTGGACACGTAGACAATATCACTATTCATCCTTAGGGATATTTTGAGAAATATGAAGCTGCTTCCATAGAAATTTAAATGTATATGCATTCAACTGAAACTACCTGTCATGGGCAAATTTACTGCAGTTGCGTTCCATTTATTTTAAACAATGATTTGAAAATTACATTTCAATAATAAAAATCTACAAAGTTTGCTCTTTGTTTTCTCAGTTCAGATATCAATAAAAGAATCCAATTAAATTTTCCAGCAACTATAAATCCTTTGACCTTTTTTCGTTATGACATAAAGATTCATGTTATCATTTGCCTACCTAACCAGAGACGAAAAGAATTTCCATAAAAGTTACATTTTTCAAACAATATATAAGTCTTTGACACTGGAAGTAATATTTATAAATGATATTTTGTTTTTCTTCTATATTCTAGTAACAACGTTTCAGTCCATATTTCAAATTAATTAATTAATTAATAATGCATCTATAAGGGAACTTCTAATGGAAATTTAAGGCAAAGTTTAAAAGATGAGTCTTCTTTGACATGCAAATTAGTTATTTCCTGTTTTAATTTCCAGACAAAAAATGCAATACGAAATCGTCCAGGCTCTTACCCGGTTCATTTTCGCCGTTTTGCTGACGTCGATGGTGGCTGTTAATGCCAAGGCATCGCATTTTCCGGAAAATACACAAGTAAGTATAAAGTATACTAAGTACAACTTCAAAAGGTATGATTGTCACGTTGTATCTACAACAGTCACAATATCTACTCTGTGATAATGGATAAGAAGTTTTGAATTTGATGAGAATTTGTCTATAGAAAACCAAAGATTACTTAATATTTTTATTCCTTTTTAGGGTTTGATTAATGATCAAGATGCGTCTGCCAACAACCTCATCGACTCTGGACTAAGACCATGGCAACTTGAGCTTATTGCGCAAAGAATGGCCGAGCTTAATCAAATCAAGTACGTTTAGGATTTCACCCACAATAAATTTCTTTTTTTTGGCTGAAGGGAAAATTTAGTTTCCAATTAAATCTATCAACATTTTGCTAAAGGCTTTTTAGTTTCTCCAAGGTTTAGACCGCTCTAAGTTATTTCTATTTTCTGATTTTTCTAGTTACAAATAAAAGATAAATCGGTCGGTGACTTCTCCTTATAAAATCATGTATTTATATTTTTTAGCCAAATGTCCGGTCCTCAAGACTTCGCCCCAGGACGTTTCGATCGCGCCCTAAGAAGCGGCAACGAAATCAAACGTCAAAGTCGCTACCGTCTTTGCTACTTCAACCCCGTTTCTTGCTTCAAAAAGTAAAAAAATTTCGCCTAAAGGCTATTTTGAAAAAACAAATATATATTTAGAACAAGTGATTTTTACAGGATTATTTTTTGGAAATAAGTTCCTATATAGACTTTCTTAAATAATTTATTTTTGTGTAATTTAAACCTAAATGTATTTTATTTTATAAGTAAAACTTATTTCCAAAAAAAAAAAATAGAGTTAAGACAAACAAGATATATTATATTTAAAATTGGTGTACTTATACTTAAGTCAGCTATTTTATCAAAATAATAATATTCTAAAATAAAGATTCATATCAATACAATTTGTGTAAAAAGTCGATGTCTGAACAATATATGAATAGGTATTGTACTTTCATTGGACTAGTAATTAAATTATTTTATTGTCTTTTTATCTGGATTATTAATTTTTTGTTTATATTTTTACCTAATTGTTACTAGTTCTATGTAATTATCTTCCCCAATATATTATAATACATCATTATAAGGCGAACAAATGAATAAATATAATACAAAATATATTGTCTATCATCCATATTTGGAAAGCAGATGCTTTTGTTCTCATGTTTTCCTAATAAAACGCAGAAAAACTCATCAGTGGGTATCAATTTGTAATTTATGGAAGTAATTGATAACACTTATAATATCTATCAGAAGATAAGCAAGGGTGATGCTATTCTCATACTTTATTGTACTTAGTAGATATAGATGGCCGGTTCTACACCCTCCGGAAGGGATTTATTAGTAGAAAACTCTTATAGACAGGTCTGTATATAGCTATACAGGTCTGATACAGCTTTAGATAGGTCTGTATACAGCTATACAGGTCTAGAGGCAGGTTTGTTCAGCTGTATAAACATTTTTCTTTAGACCTGTATTGGGATTTCAAGATAAGCGATACTTTGGAACTAGTTTGTAGTACATTGTCGTTTGTTATTGTATTGTTTACCATTGTGTTTTTGTGAATATTTTTGAAGTGTTTTTGAATTTTTAAAGCGTGTTGGGGAATAAATAAGTGTAAATTATATCAGATACATTCAATCATGACCTCAAATCACTACTGTTGTGTTCCTCAGTGCAAGTTTTGGGCCAAAAAAGATGCTAACAAAGGGTTGGGTTTCCACATATTTCCCCTTGAAACAGGCCTACGGGTTTATTTGGAAATGAAGATGGGAAAATAGTTAGAATGGAGAAGAAAAGCCTGGATTTTAAAACTTCGTATTAGCAAACCACTCATCAAATTCATGAAAGTGTATTTCTCTGCATTTCAAGCAAGAAGTTTGTGTTAAGGTAAACAAACATAATAGATATTTTTGTGTCCTAGCTTCCTTTTAGGACTGCTCGTAGGCATTGATTAAGAACCTATTTTGATTGTTTTTATTATTTACAGGTGGGAGTACAGGTAAAGGTCGGATATTGAAAAAAACAGCTGAACCATCCCAGAATTTGCCCTATTCTACAGTGATCCATAAACCCAGCCAAAAAACAGATTTCATGTGTGCTGACTTGCCAAAAGAAAAAGAAATCAAGATTCTAGTGAGAGCGGTTCAAGTAATGAATGTATTTAGTGATACTTGTATTCAATTATTAAACTCTTTTGAGACAAACATACAAATGGACGAGCAAACAGCAGAAAGTGTCAAGTTTTTATTAAATTCTAATTACCAGTATTACAGGCAGGTTTGTGGTCAAGTTATTTGACTTTGTTAATTCAATATTTACCTATTTATAAATAAAAATAAAGAGTTATTTATGAAATATTTATTTATTTATCGCACATACAAGTTATTCAAGTACAGACATTATAAGGGACATCCTGCCTTGACCCTTTTGGCAATGTCCTATAGTGGAAAATTTTAAGAAAAAGATCCGTTTAGGGCCAAATTATGGACCAACTGGTAAGTGTCCGGTTGTTACCTAGCAGGTACTTTCTATTGTCTAGTGCATAGAAAGTACCTGCTAGGTAACAACCAGACGTTTACCAGTCAGTCCATAATTTGGCCCTTAGGCTGTTGTATGGAATGACCATTTCGGGTCAGGTAAGCGCAATAGATTATATTGAATTTTGGCCTGCATCAGGAGCCATACAGCCATAAACACAAGACAAACATTCAAGCTAATGTAAATCATATGCAAATTAAGTTAAAAATAAAAGTGAGGTTATGACAGTGTTGTCGAACGTCAAAATACTAAATCGGGAGAAATTGGCGTTGAAAATAGGTAGATAACTGCGCAAAATCGGTAGGTATAACATAAGGATAATACACACTACTAAGGAGTGCTTATCGGCCTCGTTTTTGGTAATCTAATCGCGGCCATATTGGTGTATCACCGTTGTCGACGTCATTAACTGCGTTGTCAGCTGTTTGCACACCAGCGGTCCTAGTTTAGAATTTAAATTTATGATGATAAATATCATTTAATTTTGATTAACATAATAGGTAGAGAGAAAGATGCAAACAAGATCGACCAAGTACTTATGCATAAAGCAAAAGCCCGCGGAATCATAACCTGTGATGCAATCAGCCTACGGCAAGGTGAGAACCCGAGATTGCCTGATAACTTTATGACGTCATCTGGGGGGCTTCAACATAATGCAAATCTCCATAAAGCACCCAAGATGCGTCATCAGGTTACCCATTACCAGGCAACCTATGAACCTTGGTGAAAACCGACGTGCTGCTACGTCACAACTGGTGATTTGACGTGTGGGGGGCTTCAGATTTGTTCTACACAGATCTTATGAGAATAGGTTAACCTGTATAGTAGTAGTGTGTATTATTCTTGGGTATAAAAGGTCTGAGTGAGTGAATTTCATTGGTTGAAACTAGTTTTCCGACTGTTTTCAACCAATGAAATTCACTTTGACTGGTTTGTGATTTCTGCTGAAACAGACCTAATATAAAGACTAAAATCCAGCGTTGCCGTTTTTGTTTTTTCGATTTATTGCTGAGAATGTGCGCTCAACATTGGTGGAAGAATAGGGCAATGACAAAATATTAAAAACAAATTCGGATATCACAGGACCCACGGGTATTCCCTGAAAGAAATGCACTGATTGCCACTGATACCAACCATTGCTAACAAATTTGTCGTCGGAAAATCTAATATCCAGGTATTTGACAACTAACAGTTCTGAAATGGACAAAAAATTTGATAAATCGGCGAAAACAAAAACGATAAAATTGAGTTTTTGGCGAAAAATGGTAGAAAATTAGGTAGAATTGTAAATATTGTCGAAAATCGGTAAAAGTTCATCACTATTCGGTATTTCGGTAGGTCTGTTGCCATTTCGGTAGAAATACCGAAGTTTCGGTAGCTTCGACAACACTGGGTTATGAATCAATGTACTAGAAAGTAGTTGAGCTATTCGCCACCGCGGCGCTACAATCTTAATTTGAAATCCCAATAGCTGTATACCAATACTTACTTTCCCAGTCAGACAATATTGATAGAGTTATAGGATTAGTAATTCTAAGCAAAATACATATATTTTTAGGGGGGGTTTTCCGATGGGTTGAGGCGCAAAATGCGTTAAAGATTACGAATGCACGGCTCTTTTTTTTCTCAGTGATAAAAATAGGTCTACTTATAAGAAGTATACTGAAGTTACGTAAAAAAATAGTCCGGCTAATCTGTGAGAATGGATAATATATCTGGCAAGTGAAAAATTGAAGATCCGAAAATTTTCAGCCAGACTCAGTTTCACTATCTAAGATAAGCCAAATTGCTATTTTCATATACTTTATGTTCTATTGTAGTGAATGTGAAATATTTATGTCTGAGCTTAATTACTTGTATTTTTCATTGATCTTGTGAACCCATCCGACAATTGTAGCCAGACTCAAAAACTCTTGCTTTGTATCACCAGGAGAACAAACTACTGGGAAAATAAGTGCTAAAAAATTTCACTGCCTCTTGGACTATAACAGCATTGCCTTCAAGTAGAGACAACCGTGATACTGTTTCATCCCGCTTTAAGATATCATCCCCACATGCCTTGGAACAGATGATTTTGTGTTGTTCCAGATAGCGAAAAGCGCTTCTTTCTGCGCACGATTTATGGAAACCATGAAAGCAAACTATGCAAAACAGGTACTTGAGGTTGGTAGGTGGTTTTGTTGGACAACACTTAAACTCCCTTTCTAATTTCTAAAATTTTCCTGTTTCCGCGGCTAACGTGACAACGTTGCAAGGTACAAAGTTCAAACTCGATTGAATTAAACTGCTATCAAATAAAATGGTGTGTTGGTTGAAGTTAGTATTATGTGGAGCAGAAAATGTTTTATCACTAGTCTTGCACTTATTCTTAAAGTAAACACATTTAGAAACACAACTGGCGGTTTATCTAATTTAAAACAAAAAAAATTTACTGTAAAATTTAAAGTACCCATTCACTAACAGTTAGCCTGCAGTCCAGAACTGCCGATTTGCATATCGTCAGTTAAAATTTCTCCATACACGTTCAGGCCGTCGACAGGTCTGAGCCTGGCAGTTCACTTGAATCTAACGACGGACTAGAGTGTATGGAGAAAAATCGTCAGTTGATATTGTACGATCCCATCTTCAAACTAGTTGGAAGTTTTCATGATTCCGATTTTGTGAAATGGCCGAGTCAAGCAATTATACAGAGTTTTTAACCGAATTTATTGATATTTATAGGCAATTGCCTTGTCTTTGGAAAGTAAAGAGCAAATCCTACTCAAAGAGGCACGAAAAGAACAAAGCATTTCTCATTTTATAGTATTTTTCTTTGATATTAACGGCTTAACCAAGCTTAAGAGTTCTTTAAAACATGCTTCATCCATTCTAAGGTAATTTTAAAGGTCGCCTGTTGCACTAGTTCTTAATTTTCGCACCAGTCTCATATGAGATAAAGTATCACGTTGTAACAGCCAATCTTTTACTCAAAAACGTTTTTTTGCCTTTGTTATCGGCTTTTGCAATAATAATAGCACAAGTGCGGCTAGTTGTTTCTTTCTATTAGTACGAAACATTTTTCACTACAGCGAGACTGTTCGATTAGCACTGACAAAATGTTTGTATGTGTGGCGAAAGTTCAGTTTTCCTTCAGTTCAAAAACTGACAGTCCTTAAACTGAGGTAGCATCGTTTCAGAAAACTGAATGGTGTGTGGCCTGAGAAAGTTCAAATCTTCAGTTCAGATCGTACAGTCCTAGAACTGCGGGCAAACTGTAAGTGAATGGGTACCTTTAGGTTTAAAGATTTGAGTGAAAAATAAACAATTTATTTCAAGTGCGCGTTGTTGCCAAAAAAAATTTAATTTGTTTTGCTTCTAACTTATTCATATTTATTACGTTATCTGTTTACCTTTTTTTGTGGGGGTTTTTGTCGGACAAAGGGATTTAAATTTATTCGGATTTAGTCGAGTATGAAACGTTGAAGAAGAAACAGCGTCAGTTGCGTCCGAGAATTATCGATTTTTTTTTTACACAAGCTTAGATTATTGTGTCGTGTGCCCATATAGTGTACCAATTGACTTCTGGATTTTGGTAAGTAGTACCAACAATTATTTTTTGGTAATTGGGATTTATTGAATCTTGAATAAACAACCCTTGATTTTTCTAATGTCTGAATTTCGAACAATCCAACTTAATTTTTTTAAATTTTTTTATTTAAATTGTAATTCATTTGATTCTCTATAACTATTGGCAATTAGTAAAATATACAGGGTGTCCAAAAATTAGTTTTCCAGTATCTATTTTCATCATTAATTTTCTTTTTTTGATTTGGCTTTCCAAAAGTGCGTTAATGAAGAAAGTATAGATGAGCTTGTGTGAAGGATGAATGATCTACTGTTGTGAGATAAAATGCTGGGTTCTGGTTATGTAGTATGTAGGTATTGTTGGAATAGAACGCTGTATGCTGGATGTAGATACTGTTGTAATAAAATGCTGGAGTGTTCCAAAAAAATTGATTTTTGTCCACAATTTTGCTGTTAAGGCCAGTTTAAATCCATAGCTATTCTGTCACTGGAAATTATCCAAAGATGTTTTTGGGTCTTAAGTCTCAATTATTGTAAATTTCAATAAGCCACTACCACTAGCAACAACCCAACTAACCCAACACAACTAACCCATATATTAACACCTTGGGGTAAATTGCTAATGGAAGTCCACTAAACCTTTTCAGCTACAAATCTACAGGTGCATTACCTACACAATAATACTCTTTTATAAAGATAGTATAGCTATCCAGTTATGTAGCTGTGTTTTTCAAACAGGCAATTTGAAAGTTTTCAATTTTTTTGAGACACTCATGGAGGTGTTGGGTGCACTTTTGGAAAGCCAGTCATTAACGTACATCAATAAGTGTTTTCAATATATTTTAAGCCTTAGAACCTTTAACATAGAGTTGTCACAATGTTTTTCTACTAAATTTGATACTATTTTTCTGGCTGGTGAAGTCAGAAATTTGAAAAACTCAAAGAAATAATTTTTGATGTAAGACCAAAGGAACTCCTATAGAAGTCTGACTCAAAGTTTCAACTTTGGAGGCTCATATCTTCAGAACCGTTTCAAATATTGGAATAATAATAATTTGTTTCATCTTGAAGAGCATCAAATTCTGATTCAAAATAGTTATTCTAACATTGAAATATATGGAATATTAAACTGAATAATAGATGATTTTGTGAAATCATATCGAATAAATGA